AAAAAAATAAACAGGCCTTCCACCCTTCTTTCTATTAACTACAGTAGTTATATCGTATTTTTTCCTCCTACCCTTTGGCTGTTTTTATTTATCAGTCCATAAAAAAAAATTAGCAGGAAAAAGCCCATTTAAGGTTTCTAACATGTCTTTTTTGTTTGGCTGGCGTCAGGATTCCAAGGACTAAAATTGGGAGTAAAGTTCTAATTTCAGATAAAATATTTCGGTCTCCTTTCCTGTAGTCATTGGGAATGGAATTTGACCTCTTGGCTGTTGCATCCTTATTAGATTTATGCCGATCCAAGCAAAAGACTTGAACTGTATTTCCGTCCCAAAGACCCCTACTGCCACCCAGTGTGCGCCAATCGCTTCCCTACCTCTTCAATGCTGCTCAAAGTGAAAAAGAAAACGAGGAGGAAACGGACAGAGGAAGGAAGTCTGGAAGAAGAAATAAAGTTTGAAGTGGAGATACTTGGTGTCATTTCTACTGTTTATAAATTTCAAGGTAATTTATTCTAAATTAGGAGTATGTGTATAAGCAAGCCCTTATATCAGCTTGTTGTTTTATATATGTGTGTGTGTGTGTTTTCTTAAGTTTTCGCGGGTACTTACATGTATGGTATTCAGCTTTGTTTGGGTATTTTCCCACATCATGTTCACTCTCAACTTTTTAGTGTTGTTCTTTTCAGTTTATTCTAGCTTACTCCACCCTTAAACTAAGGCAATGAGAAAAAAGAATGACTTACGTACAAAATCTGTATTTTTGTTCTTGTTCACTCTGGCTAGCTAATTTGATAACTTTCCAATTTGCCAACTTCCTTATCATGTTCCTATGCAAAGTCATATGTGATGGGCAATTTATCCAATGTATTATTAGTTACAAGTCTGATTCTAAGAATGTCAAAGTAGGTTGCTGTTTATGTTTATCTATTTTGTTACCTATTTTGTAGAGTGAGGGAAGAAGTCAGTTGCTGTGGAATAACTTTCTTTGTGCACTTTAATTTCACTCTAGGTATGTCTGATTTCCAATACTTGGTAATGCATTCAGAGCCAGACGGTAAACAAACATCAATGTATGACAAAGTCTTGATGCTCAAGCCAGAAAAAGAAGATTTTTTTATGAATGAGCTGCCACTCTATATTCCTCCACCCATTTTCTCACGCCTGGACAATCCTATCGATTATTACTACCGGCCAGATGTACATCATAGGTGAGTGCCTTTTCTTGTGAAGTAACGGAGTAGATATTTACTGGAATATCCTATCTCTGGAGAAGTGGACTGGTGTCTCTACTTGTAGTAAGGATCTAGCTTTTAGTAAAGTGGATTGTAATTGCTGTAAATAAATGATAAGAGTGAGTAGAGTGTGTTGTAATTGTGGCAAATGAATAAGAAAATTTTCAATAGTCGGAATAATTAGATGGGGAAAGTACTTATGGAAGGATGCATTGAAGCAGAAACTAGACAGCTGTGTGTCATTTGTCCTTGGGTTGAATAAGTGTTTTGACTTGGTACAACTTGGAATTTTATATTTAAGTTTTACAATTAAGCTGCCTATGTGTCAGCTTAATTGTGACCGTACGTCGAAAGCTATCTGTATTAGAGAGGGGCTGTCTTCATCTTCTTTCTCTCACACATGATATGCAGTCTAATCTGCCTCTTATTCCTCTGGAATGCAACCTCTCCCTCCAGAAAATCCACTTCTTTATTACATCCCATCATATTATGGGTTTTACACATTCAATCGATCCAGGGGTGGGGTGTGGTGGGGTCACATACTCTTAAGTTGCTTTGCTTTTCACATCTCCTGGTTCCTCTTGGTTCCAGCAAATAACATGTACTAGTTTTGACAGTTGCAATAGGCAGGTATAACCTGTTCCAAAGTTTTCCACACCTTGGTCGGCTTTCCTTTGTTGTAACCGCACAGCTCTTCAAATGACTTCTACGCAGCTGCATGAATCCAAACTGGTGCGTAATATTTGGAAAACGTTTTCCAATCTGTAAGAACGCCAGAACTGAATTCCATTTGCTGTTGCAGAAGTTGGTACTAAGAGAATCAAATGCAAGCAATTGCAATATCTTGTTCCTATCAGCACTGCTACATTTTATCAACCAAATGCCAAGATGTCTGGCATTGACCACAAATGTCCCTGTATTCGGTTCTTTTTCCATTCTTTGATGTAACATCTGGATGGTCTCCCATGCTAACACCTGTGATTTTTCCCACTCCTGCAAAGGCTTATAAAAAAAGGTTGACGTAATTTTCCATGCAAAATTGCTTTGCTTCTTCTTGGAGGCTTGAATTAGGTAATTAATTCTGCAGCTCTTGATGTGAGGTTGCAATTCATCTCTTTAAAAAATATTTTATTGAAGTTTATAATCAAAGTAAAAAAAAGAAACAAAAGTTAGCAAGGTCAAAGAAGGAAGAAGAGCAATTGAAGCAGCAGCTATCGTGCAATCTTTAGGGAGACCATTCGGTGGTGTATTTTTAAAACAAAAGGATTGAAATGAGCTTTAGGTTTAGTTTGAGTTGAGTTTCCTTTGTGTTGTGTTGTTCTCCAGAGAAGGCTATCGCAACCCTCCCCTGTCCAGCGAGAATCTGATCGGCCTCAGCAGGGCCCGCCGTCCTCACAACGCTATCTTTGTCAACTTTGAGGATGGAGAGGTCCCTTCGAAGCCGTTGGAGGCTGCTGTGCAGACTTGGAAAAAAGTCTGTAGCAACACCGTGGATCACCAAGCAGAAGCAGAGCTTAAGAAAGTAGGTCTGCCTGAACTTGAAACCTCCCTAAAAATAAAATAATTAGCAATACATACTTTGGATCGAAAATGGCAGCACGTTGAAGTCTCGGATCTTGTGTTATTTTTAAAATGCAGCTTCCTAGTTCTGAGGGACGGCTTGGCATTCTGTGGCTCTGCTTGCCTCTTTGGGACGCCTTAGATCAGGGGGTCTTGAAACTTGACAGCTTTAAGACTTGTGGACTTCAGTTCCCAGAATTCCTCCTCTTCCAGGCATGTTAGCTCAGGAATTCTGGGAGTTGAAGTCCACAAGTCTTAAACTTGCCAAGTTTGAAGACTCTTGCATTAGATAAATTACATTGCAAAAAAAAAAAACACACCCCCAAAACAGAGTCAAATTCCCAACGTTTAACAGGACGCAAAATTTTGCTTTTTTTTCTCTTCGCAGGAATAAACGGCAGACACACTCTCTCCTTTTTGCACAGGATTACATGTGCAAATTAAGTTTAGAAAGCTGCCTTTGTTCCACAGGACCCAACAGTCTTTGGGTTGAGGGTTACATGTTGGAGAACCACATTGGGGTAACTTATTAGCAGATGCAGTGGGAGATTGAGTTTATGGATTGACTATATGCATCCACTATCTTTTAGTGAAAGGATTTGAAGGACAGCTCATAAAACATTGTCTGAGATGGAAGTCCGTGACTAGATTCCTTCATTCCTTCCTTCCTTCCTTCCTTCATTCTGCAGTGTTGACCTAGCACCCAATTTTAAAAACTCTAGGTAGCTTCCCAAGATCCTAATGAAAGCATAATAAAAATAAACCCAACTGTAGTGTTAATCCAGAAATCAATCTTCATTTCTGTCATGAACCAGCACAGCAAATCGATAAGCATATTTTAAAGGATAATTAAAGCACCCAACGTTCTCTCTTCTGTAGGTGATTCATAAAATGAGAGCTAAATTGGCAATTTAAGTGAAATGAGCGAGACGGGCAGCAAACAAATTTAATAATAATGATTAATGGAATGGAATGTTTTTTTTTTAATCAACCCAATGCTAACTGAGTTTCTTTTGGTGACATTATAAGGCATCAAGCTGATTGTTGAAGCTGTTTCTTTGAAAGAGATGGTGCATAGTTTAAAAAAAGAAGAAGAAAAAAGATAAACCCAGAGGGATTTCACCTTTTTGCTGTTTTATGTCTGCACGAATTATTTTCAGCTTTTTGAACTTCGTCCTGTGTGGTCCCGTAACGCGGTGAAAGCCAACATCAGCGTTCACCCTGACAAACTGAAACTGCTACTACCCTATTTGGCTTATTACATGGTGAGTCCCGATTTTATCCACGTTTATGGTACTTTCTTACAAAAAGCCCCAAAGAATATAATGTGGATAAACATGCATTGTGTTTTTACGCCCCTGTTTGAGTGCCAGTTTGATCTAGTGGTTAAAGTGCTAAAGGCCTAGAAATCAGGAGTTCTAGTCCTGCCTTAGACAAGAAAGGGAGCTGGGTGACTTTGGGCCACTGACCAGGAGATTGTGAGTTCTAGTCCCCTCTTAAGCACAAAAGCCAGCAGGGTGACTTGGGCCCAGTCACTCTCTTTCAACCTCGCTGGGTTGTTGTTGTGGGGAAAATGGGAGGAGGAAGAAATATGAGGCACATTCATGGTCTCGAGTTGCTTACGAAGTTACAAAGGCAGGATAAAAAATAAATCTCATAACAAATAAAAAAATTAAAAACGTCCTGTATATGTGAAAAAAAAAAAAGTTCCGTGTATTTTATGATTCTGAAATGATGAACTGCAACCAAAGCAGCGAAAAAGAAAGAAAAGCCCAAGAAAAGTAGGAGACGGGGCTTGCGCTATAACCTCAGCCCACTCCCCCCTGCTAAGATGCTAACCTTTGAGCAGTCCATTAGTGACCCTTTTATTTTTCTCACGGTCCCCTTAGCTCACGGGGCCCTGGAGAAGCCTCTGGGTGCGTTTCGGCTACGATCCCAGGAAGCACCCCGAGGCGAAGATCTACCAGGTTCTGGATTTCAGGATTCGCTGCGGCATGAAATACGGTAAAAAAAAAAAAAAAGTCTAACACAGCCAGCCAGAAGGTGGCTCTCATTTTCAGTCCTCTCGCCGGCCTCTCTGTTTTGAGTGGGGTGGGCGGCTTTTTCGTGGCTCTCCAATTCCTTCAGGGCTTCCCCCGAGAACCCTACTCCCCTCATTGCTGCCTTCCCCATGGCTTCTTGTATACAATTCATTGTTTCTTCATGGATTGTGTTTCCATCTCTTTAGGGTACACCCCAAATGACATGCCAGTGAAAGCCAAACGCAGCACCTACAACTACAGTCTGCCCATTACTTTAAAAAAACCAGGTAGGTCGTCCGATTGGGACACTCTCGGTGTCCTTAACAACTCTGTGCTTTAACCGTCTCTCTTATGTACTAGTGTCCCCAGCTGCAACCAATGAGGGGGATCATGGCCGCTTCCTCTCTTGTAAGCCAAGTTGTTCCCTCTTGAAAGGGTTTTCCCATCCATCTCCCGCTTTGCTCTTGTTATCCTAAAGAAATTAAGACCCTCTTCTTATATCCCTTACAGGAAGTCACGGCCTCGGCATCCAAGACTTAAAACAGGGGCTCAGCACATCTGGAACATCAGGTGCAAAATCCCCAGTTATGAGCAAATACAAACTTAAGGCAAGTCCTTCTCCTCCTCCTCCTTCAGGTCATACCAGAAAGTTCTTATCTTCAGACACCTTGGGGTTTTTTTGGGGGGGGAGATGTAGATTTACCAAAGATTCCACAATAAGGTGAAGGGAGAGCTACAGGTAGTCCTCGGCTTATGTCCACAATTGTGCCCCAAATTTCCGTTGCTAAGCAAGGCGGTTGTTAAGTGAGCTTTGGCCCATTTTATGACACATTATTTTTTTACCATACTTGTTAAGCGAATCGGGCTTATTTCATTGACTTTGCTTGTTGGAAGCCCGCCGGGAAGGTTACAAAAGATGATCACATGACCCTGTTATGCAACCAATACATGCCAGTTGACTCTGCCCATTGCCAGAGGTTCGATCCCAACCGGCTCAAGGTTGACTCAACCTTCCACCCTTCCGAGGTCGGTAAAGGAGGACCCAGGTTGTTTGGGGCGATAGGCTGACTCTATCAACCGCTTAGAGCGGGCTGTAAAAGCCCTGTGAAGCGGTATATAAGTCTAAGTGCTGTTGCTAAGATTTCCTGTCACTGGCGCTGAGATTTTCCACAGGGAGGATGCTTCTCATTCTCTCTCTTCTCCTCCTCCTAGGATTCCATTTATACCTTTGAGGAAGGGTCTCTGCCCCCCTATCGACAGATGTTCTACCAGCTGTGCGATTTGAAAGTGGAAAGGTACAGCACTGGCACTGACCTGTTAATCTTAAGCTGTTAAAACCCTCTTGCATTTTAGTCAAGGGTAACTCACAATCTTGTTTCATTTTTGAGGAGCATCTGGGGTTGAAAACCCAATCTGGGTATAAGTTTGGGCATCCTTTGTTTTGCAACTCCAGAAAGTCAACATGCTTTGTCCAGATGTTTGAGGGCACCCAACCAAGCATCTCAAGTCACAAGTGTATCCTGACTCTAGAAAGTCAATTGGTGCCTTGTCCAGATGTTTGAGGCCACCCAACCAAACATCTCAAGTCACAAGTATACCCTAGTCACAGTTATGTCATCTTTGTTAGCTATATATTTCCAAGGAACGATGCTAATGACAGCCATGGCTTAGTCCATCCAGGAGGCGAAGTTTCGCTTGACCTTGGTTGTCAGAACAGGACTAGCCCTGGCTTCGTAGTTTGGTTGCTCTGCGCTGAGAAGAGCCACCCTGAAATGGACTTCTGTTCAGCTTGCAGAAGATCATCCATCGAAACGACAACATGGAGGCGGCTTGTACGGAGCGGGACGGCTGGTGCCTTCCGAAGACCAACGATGAATTGAGGGACACCATGTCACTGATGATAAGGCAGATAATCCGATCCCAAAGGCCAGGTGAGGGGGAAATGGGGCTGGCAAGCCCAGGTATGTTGGTCGTGCGAGTGGCCTGTATTATAACCGTCACGAATCCCAGTCGTGATGGGCAGCAGGCTCCCTGATGGCCATAACTCAAGGTCTACCTGCAATAATGTCAGCCGTGCGTGTTTTCTCTTTTTCCTGTTTTCATAAAAACACTTTTGTGTTTCTTAGTGTTTTTTCCCCCCATAATTCTGGAATCTGGTCTGTGCCGGCCCACGAGATTTTCAAAAGTGCCAGAGACCATATTAAAACTATCCTATGCTGAATTATTCCAACCGGGTCCCTCTGCTTCTCATCCCTTGTCTCTGGTCTGTTTCAGCTCTGTTCAGAAACCCTTCTAAAACCACAGAGGGCAAAGAGCAGCTGACTTTTGAATCTGGAGAAGAGGAAGAGGAGGAGGAGGAGGAAGAAGAGGTTTTCAAGCCTTCGGATGGGAGTGAAAATGAAATGGAGACGGAGATTCTTGACTACGTCTAACATCCTGGGGCTGGTTGGCTGGGCTGGTTCTTGGAGGGAGGAATTTGTTTTGCTCTTTTTTCTTTTTGGAAAGATAGAAGGAAGGAAGAAACCCACCAATCCAACCAATGAGTCAAGGAACTCATCAACTTAACCAACTCACTAACCCAACCGACGTGCCAAGCCGATGAACCCAACAACCCAGTCAACTCAACGCACAACCAACCCAACTCATCGGCTATGTTACATCTTTGACTTGACTGGGTTTATGCAAAAGTGTCATTTGCAGGTTGCATCTTTGTCGTTCTATTTGTGCAGCCTTCCTTCCATTGTTGGATTCAAACACAAATATAAGACCTCTACTTTGGGGGGGCGGGGGGGATTCCTTTGGCGTTGTAGCATTTTTGGCAATCAAGGGCCAAGCCCATCTACGTCTGACAACTTTGTCTCCTGGAGTCGTCTTATGGATCGAACGGTGTTGAACTTCCAATCAAGGCCTGATGGTTACGTCAGACCTTGCACACCGGCAGGCAAAATTATAATTTCAGTCTTACTAGGACTTAAGTTGTTCCTGTCCTTCTCAAACAAAACTCATTGGGAATTGCTTTCGTGACGCCTTGAGACAGAAACAACCTCCTTGATTCCATTGTTTGGGGTTTTATGGGACATCAAGTGGACAGCCTTAAGAAATTTCCACTGTTTTGTATAGTGATAAGGGATTTTTTTTTTCAGCTCAAGTGCAAATAAAGAGATTTCTGGCTTCCGAATAGTTTTAAGTGAGATTTGTTTACAGGGCGCTTAAAAGCAAACTCGGAGGGGCTTTTTTTTTTAAATCCAATTTGGAACTAGCTGCTTTTGAAAAGGGCCCCACTCCCTACTTAGGTCAGGATCTGGGTGAGAATGTAAGAATTGTACTGGCCTGAGGTTTTGATCCCAATTTAACGAGGAGCTTGAAAAAGTCCCAGAATGTTTCCATACTGAGTTTTGAATGAATTGCAGAGAACAGATGCAAAAGCGATTAGCGGACTGGAGGTTAAAACATTCAGTGATTATACGGTTGCAGGAATTGGGTATTCACTATAGTGAAGAGGAGGATTAGGGGTGATATGATAACAGTGTTCCAATATTTGAGGGAGGGGCTGCCCCAAAGAAGAGGAAGGGGTCAACCTATTTTCCAAAGCACCTTCAGAAGGCAGGACAAGAAGCCATGGATGGAAACTGACCCAGGAGAGAAGCAACTTGGAGAACTAAGGAGGAATTTCCTGACAATAAGAACAATTAACCAGTGGAACTCCTTGCCTCCTGAAGTTGTGAATGCTCCAACACTGGAGGTTTTTAGGAAGAGATTGGACAACCATTTGTCTGAGCAGGGGGTTGGACTAGAAGACCTCTGAAGCCTCTCCCAACTGTTATTCTAGTCTTTATGAAGATTCTTAGTCATCCAGGTCATAGTTGTTGTCTTCGAGGTGCTTTTATCAAGAGGCACTTGGACTTTCTGTTTTTTTCTTTGAAGATGTTTCGCTTCTCATCCAAGAAGCTTCTTCAGCTCCTACTGGATGGTGGGGAATTTATACACCTTGCAGACGTTTACATTCCCCCATCATCCAGTTAGAGCTGAAGAAGCTTCTTGGATGAGAAGCGAAACATCTTCAAAGAAAAAAAAACCCCAGAAAGTCCAGGGGCCTCTTGATAAAAGCACCTTTGGGTTATGGCCGAGGCAGAGAAATTCAAACTAATTCTATACCCTGGTGGAAGGCTGATTGTTATTATTTTTTTAAAAAAAGGTGGCATTATTTAAGGAGCCTCTGTGGCGCAGTGGTTAGAGTGCAGTATTGCAAGTTACTTCTGCAGCCAGCTGCCTACAATTTGGCAGTTCAAATCCCACCAGGCTCAAGGTTGTTGACTCAGCCTTCCCTCCTTCCGAGGTGGGTCAAATGGGGACCCAGATTGTTGGGGGCAAGAGGCTGATTCTATATACCGCTTAGAGCGGGCTGGAAAGCACCGTGCAGCGGCACATAAATCTAGGTGCTATTGCTATTATCTTCTAGTTCTTCTGATCTTATTACCTGTCTCTGAGCAAGACTTTTATTGGTAATCTGTCAGCACTGGGAGCTTAACCATGTGAGAGCGCCAGCTGATGGATAGACACACCTCAAAGGGGAAGATAAAAAGTTTTTTTTTCCATTTATTGGATTTATCTTGGATATTTCCCTGCAAAACTTGGCAGGAAGCAAGGAAATGGTTCCAGCAGTTTTTCAGCTGTGGGGAACGACACCAGTGCCCTTGAGTTGCCGTAGATATGGGGGCTGGACCTAGACTATAAAGCCATCGGTCTGGAACGTAGCAGCACATTCAGACTTCACCATGAATCGCTGGGCTGTTCTGGGCTTGGCTGTCCTCTTCTGGATGCAGGCAGCAGGAGCTGCAAAGGTAACCTCCAGCTAACTAAGGAACGTCCCGGTAGTCCTCGACTTATAACGACCGCTGTGAGCTGGGAAAAAAAAAGATGGCTGTTTTTCACACTTAACGACCTTTCGTAGCATCGCCCCGGTCAGTGGGATCAAAATTCAGGCGCCTAGCGACTGATACTGACGACCGTAGCTGCTTCACGCGGTTGGTTCCCCCTTTTGGCAAGTCAACTGGGAAGCCAGATTCGCTCGGCCAGCCGGGTTCACTCACTTAGCAACTGCGTGGATTCGCTTAGCCGCTGCAGCAAGAAAGGTCGTAAAACGGGGCACGCTCACTTAAGTGCCTTACTCAGCGACAGATTTGGGGCCGAGTTGTGGTCGTTAAGTCGAGGACTAGCTGTGTGGGAAATCTTTGGGGCAAAATCAAGCAGGGTTTCTAATCTAGAAGTCTGAGCTGCCCCTCTCTTTGAAATCGGTAGGAATGCTGACGTTATTATTGACTCATCAAAACGAAATTCAGTGCGGAGAAAAGTGAAGTCCTCCACTTAGGCAGGAAAAACCGAAAGGACACATGCAGACTGGGTGAAACCAGGCTCAAAGATGAAAAGATGTGGAGTCTCTAGAAAAAGTGCAGAGAAGAGCCACCAGGACGATGAGGGGACTGGAGACTAAAACATATGAAAAACGGTTACAGGAACCGGGACTGGACAGTCCTGGGAAGAGAAGGACCAGGGGAGACAGGAGAGCAGCCTTCCAGTATTTGAGGGGCTGCCCCAGAGAGGAGGAAGGGGTCAAGCTACTCTCCAAAGCACCTGAAGGCCAGACAAGGAAGAATGGATGGAAACTGAACAAGGAGATAAGGAGGAATTTTCCAACAGTGAGAACAACCAACCAACAGAACAGAAGTTGCCCTCGGAAGTGGTGGGAGCTTCATCCCTGGAGGCTTTCAAGAAGAGACTGGATTGCCATCTGTCAGAAATGGTGTAGGGTCTCCTGCTTGGGTGGGTGGGCTTGGACTAGATGACCTCCAAGGTCCCTTCCAACTCTGTTCTGTTCAGTCTGTCTTGATGCAAGAATTAACCACACGCTTCTTCCCTTTTGTGGCCGGAGTGTAGCTGGGCATCGTAAACACCGAAGGCGGGTTTGTGGAAGGTGTCAACAAAAAACTGGGCCTTTTCGGAGATTATATGGATGTCTTCAAAGGAATCCCTTTTGCTGCCCCGACCAAGACCTTGGAAGACCCCCAGCCTCACCCCGGCTGGCCAGGTAAGATGGGAAAAGAGCCTGAAACTGAATTAACCGATCACCATTGTGCTATAGGAAGACGCTTGGATGCCTTGAATAAAAAGACTGACATTTCTTGAACTAAACGGTTTGGATGTCTCTTCCATCTTGATGAATGCCTGCATGTTGTACAAACCTACATTTGGGTGGCATCCTTTACCCAGGTTTGGTTTAATTGTGGGGCAGGATTGGTAAATTTGGGGAACGAGGCGGAAGAAACAACACACTTTTACATCGCACTGGATTTTTCTCCAGGGACTTTTGAAGTCATCCTTTTGCATCCTTAAGGACCAGAAAGTTGTGGAAAGTGTGTGTGTGTTTGTGTGTGTGCGCGCGCACGCATGTGTGTGTGTGTGTGTGTGTGTGTGTATTACAAAAGTGTCTGCCTTGTTATCCAAGAATTAAAAACACGAGTAGAAACCTCCCGCACCCAGTTGTAGGACTCTAAAAACTGTGTTTATGTGGGAGGTGGTTATAGATTGGAGTTTTGAGCAGACTTTGCCTTGAAGGGATACACAACCAACTCTGTGGTTTCTTTTGTCTCACAGGCACACTTCAGGCTAAGGACTACCAGAAACGTTGCCTGCAATCCACCCTCACCCAGACAGATGTGCGTGGCTCTGAAGATTGCCTGTATCTAAACATCTGGGTCCCTCAAGGGAAGAAACAGGGTAAGGTCATGCTAGAAGGTAGAATTCGCCCATAATTTTTATTTTTTACTCCTTATTTGGCTGCTGTCGTTTTAGGAAACAAGTTACCAAGGTAGGGTCAAACTCTTTTTTTTTTAAATTTGATTTGCTTATTGTACCCTATGACTATCATTAAGTGTTGCATCTGATGATTCTTGACTCTTGATGAATGTATCTTTTCTTTTATGCACACTGAGAGCATTTGCGCCAGAGACAAATTCCTTGGGTGTCCAATCACATTTGGCCAATCAAGAATTCTGTTCTATTCTGGTTGATTGATCTGGACATTGAAAGCCGAGTTGAAATGTGTTTCTCGTCCACTTCACCTGTCTCTTTGCTTTGCCGTCTCTCCTTATGCTCCAGTCTCCACCAACTTGCCAGTGATGATCTGGATTTACGGAGGGGCCTTCATCTGGGGAGGTGGACAGGGGGCCAACTTCCTGAACAATTATTTGTACGACGGGGAGGAAATTGCCAGCCGCGGGAAAGTGATTGTGGTGACTTTCAATTACCGCCTCGGTCCGTTGGGCTTCCTAAGTACTGGAGACAAAGCTCTCCCAGGTAAGTTCAGCACTTGGAGGACATTGCTCTTTCCATCCCTTGTAAGACTCGGATCTTACAACGATTGTGCGTCATTGTTTTACTTTGAATTACTTGCTTTTAGTAGCAAAGTTTCCATTTATTTGTCCATCGATCCATCCTGACTCCTGACAAGTTACATGGAAAAATCCCTGCAGTTTGGGGAGGTGTATTTTCTGGAAGGGCTGGGCCTTGCCTGTTCCTTAATTGAGAAAGGGACTGGCTCAAAATCACCCAGTTTCCATGCCTAAGGTAGGACTAGAACTTCCAATCTCCTGGTTTCTAGCCTGGTGCCTTCACCACTACACCAAACTAACTGGATTAATAATAAAGCATGAATCATTTCATAAAAGAGAGAAAACAGGGGTTGCTTAATGCTTCATGATGTCGTCTTCTCCTTCTCCTCCTTCTCCTTCTCCTTCTCCTCCTTCTTCTCCTTCTCCTTCTTCTTCTTCTTCTCCTTCTTCTCCTTCTTCTTCCAGGCAATTATGGCCTCAAAGATCAACACATGGCTATCGCTTGGGTCAAGAGAAACATCAAAAATTTTGGGGGAGACCCTGACAACATCACAATCTTCGGGGAATCTGCTGGCGCTGTCAGTGTCTCCTTACAGGTGAGGAGGCAGGAACACTCTCAGCTGCCTAGCAGTGGGTGTTTCTAAGGTCTCTTTTGAAAATGTGGGAGGAATTCTTGGTGGCAGACCCAAGACAAAGAGAGACCCATTTTAAGACATCAAAACGATGCTTGTTTCATTGTCACTGGGTTTCATGTGGCCTGCTAAATCTCCCCAAAGCAAGCCACCATCTGCATAATCCTAATTAGCCAACCCGGCTAATTCCAAAGTCGGTGTTTAATTCAGTTCTGGGATTTGTTTGACGCGTGAATGCATGTCGCTTTGTCTGTTGGGAATCAAGTCATGATTCCTGGAAGGAATAGTTAGGTTTATGAGGGGTCCTTGGTGCTGTCTGTGCTTGGGGGTTTTCTTGCAGGCGTTTTATGACCCAGCTAGGTAACAAGATCAGTGCCAGTGCAAGAAAAATCCCCAAGCTCGGACAGCGCCAAGAACCCCTCACTTCAACCCTGAGCTACAAATATTCTTTATTAGTTAGATTTATTTCTCCAGCATTCTCAGCCAGATTAATTTGGGATTCGTTGCCTAGGGATTCCAGCTCTGTTAAAATTGAAACCGTAGAGATCCAAACCTTTCCCTGTTTCCTGCATGTAGACCCTGTCACCGTACAACAAAGGTTTGATCAAGCGGGCCATCAGCCAGAGTGGAGTCGGTCTATGCCCTTGGGCCATCCAAAAAGACCCCCTTTTCTGGGCTATCAAGGTAAAGTACAGCCTGCACACGACTTTCTTGGGGATTCCATCTTTCTGTGTTGTGTCCAGGTTGGCCCTGAACCTACCTGAGACGCTGGCGGAGATTCAGTGGCGTTTCCCTAGGATGCTCTCCCTGTTCCCCTTGTAAAAACTAGAAGGCGGGAGGGGAACAGATGTCCTCCCTGGGTGATCTTGAAAGGCTGGTCCTAGAGACCACCATTGACCCAATACAGAGGAAGACTGAGAAGTTCCTCAGTCAAGAGTGGCCCCGGCCCCTCGGAAGCCCTCTCCCCAAATGGAGTCATTCCGATGGTTATGGGTCGTGCATAGGAGGATCAGTTCTCTCGCCGGCAGCCAAATAAATACAGATTCCGCCTTCCAGATTGCGCAGAAAGTGGGCTGCCCGACAGACAACACCACCGTGCTGGCCGACTGCCTCCGAATTACTGATCCAAAGACGCTGACCCTCGCTTATCACCTGGACGTCATCAACCTGCGCTGTAAGACGGAGCGAGGGAAGAGGGTCTTGTGGGGAGGGAGGGGGGGGGAGGAAGAGTTTCATAAGCCCACCCAAAGGAAGAGCGGAGCTTCCAATAAAGGAGAATATTTGTGGCTCAGGGTTGAAATGAGGGTTCCTCAGGATTCTGGGAGTTGAAGTCCACAAGTCTTAACGTTTTTAGCTGCTACTTTGGCTGGCATCTTCGGAGGGCAAGTTGGCTGCCACGCCTTGTTTCCCATGATGCTTTCGATACCTGTACCTTGTCCCACCTCGCTGGCACTTTCCCTCCCGAGATGCCCTCCCTCCCGTTCTCTCTCCGAACTGATGGGCACTTGTCTTCTTTCCCTACTGCAGATCCCTTGGTCCATTATCTGGCCTTCACCCCGGTGGTGGATGGAGACTTCATCCCTGATGACCCAAAGAACCTCTTTGCCAACGCGGCTGATGTGGACTACCTCCTCGGAATCAATGATATGGACGGACATTTCTTTGCCAGCATCGATCTACCGGCCATCAACCGCCCCCTGGTGAAAATCACCCCGTAAGGAGGGAAGGCCAATAGATGATGGTCACTGGGCAGGGAGAGGAAGGCTGGTGGAACATCTGGAGATGTTGAGCTGGGCTGACCTGCTGCCTTCCGGCCCTTCACTTCAGACTACCGTGTGCTTGGATTTGCTATCCAAAGGGGAAGGTGTATATTTATGCTGGGAAGGGCAAAATTTCTGTAAATTATAATCCTGAAAATGGGAGAATCTCTTGCCTGGGTTATTTATCAGAATAAGGGAAGGGACCTTGGAGGTCTTCTAGTCCAACCCCCCTTGCTCTACGCCATTTCAGACAAACAGTATAGGGTCTCTTGCTTCGATGTAAAAAAAAGGCATTGAGACTTGAGTGCAGAGAAGAGCCACAAAGATGATTAAAGGGACTGGAGGATGAAACATATGAAGAACGGTTGCAGGAATTGGGTATGTCTGGTCTAGTGAAGAGAAGGACTAGGGGAGACAGGATAGCAGTGTTCCAATATTTGAGGGGCTGCCCCAAAGGAGTCCACCTGTTTTCCAAAGCCCCTGAAAACAGGAGGAGAAGCAACGGGGGGGAACTCATCCCATCCTAGAACAAAGGAGGAATTTCCTGACTGGGAGAGCGATTGTTCCTAAAACCAACCAGGAGAGCAACAGGGAATGCCGGATTCCTTTCATTTTCTTTTTCTAGGGAAAACCTCTACCGGATAATTCAGGGACTGACGGTCGAGAAAGGCTCGACAGGAGCCAACGAGGCCTACGCCATCTACACGCAGATGTGGAGCAACACAGAGGACCAAGAAGTCATGAAGAGGACGGTGGTGGACCTAGAGACGGACTACATCTTCCTGGTTCCCACCCAGCGGGCGCTTCAGCTGCATCAAGAAAACGCCAAGTGAGGGGAGGAGGAGGAGGAGTGGGGAGGGTCCTCGAGGTTGTGGGGCGGGTCTGGCTGACGGCCGGGCCTCTCAGAGAATCAAAGGTCCGGAAGGGAGCTTGGAGGTCGTCTAGTCTGACCCCTCCTCAAGCAGGAGACAGTCCAGACAGATGGTTCTCCAATCTTTTCTTGAAAACCTCCAGTGTTGGGAGTACCCAGAACCCCGGAAAGCAAGCCGTTCCATCGATGACAGGCACCCCTTGACTTACAACCGTTTGTTTAGGGACCGTTCGAACTTACAACGGCACAGAAAAAAAAGTGACTTAGGGCCATTGTTCACAGTTACGACCTTTGCAGCCTCCCCGTGGTCAGAATTCAGACACTCAGCAACCAATTTCTATTTATGATGGTTGAGTTGTCCTGGGGGCGGTCCATGTGATCCCATTTTTGTGCCCTTCTGGTGAGCGAAGTCGATGGGGTTAAGCCGGGTTTCGCAACGGCCGGGTTATTAACTTTGCAACTGCAGCGCTTCGCTTAATGACCCTGGGGAGAAACGGTCCAAAAATGGGGGCAAAACTCACTTTGCCACTTCACCCCTGAAAAGTCAGCGTCAACTCATAAAACATTTTGTATACACGTTTTATAGTTGACAACAGAAAGAAGTGTGGGGGAATTTGAAAGAGCAGGCGGCAGTGTGGAATCGAAAGTACATTCCATTCATATTTTCTTCAAAGACTGATTAGATGACTGAAGCTTCTGCCAAGCAAAAATCTAACTGGAGAGCATGATTGATGACTCTTGGCTATGGACGTGTTTCGCTGGATGATACACCCAGGGGGCTTGGGGGGGAAGAGCAGGATCAAGGGTGACAGTGAATTATGTATCTCAGAGTTGGCTACGCCCAGGTAAATGCCGGACGTAAAATGTTAACTTCCAATAAATCCCTTTTAATTTTGGGAGTGTGGCTTAAGGCTCATGATTTAATTGGAGTAACTGTGGGAATCCTGACAGTCAGGCTCGACTGTGATCGTAAGTCAAGGACTGGTGGTACTGTCTGACCCTCCCTCGTTCTGCTTTGCTTCCCAGAAGCGCCAAGACCTACAGCTACCTCTTTTCCGAGCCCTCACGAATGCCTGTCTATCCCAAATGGGTAGGGGCTGATCACGCAGATGAGATTCAGTACGTCTTCGGCAAGCCGTTTGCTACACCTTTGGGTTACTGGCCCCGGCACAGGGACCTCTCCAAAGCCATGATTGCTTATTGGACCAACTTCGCCAGAACCGGGTGAGAACTTGGGGCACAGAGTGGAGGACGCAGCCATGGGGCTGGTGAGGGCACCCGAAAGCCATGTTTTTAACGCTTTAAATGTTACATAAATGGTTTTTTTTAATGCCTTTTGTGCTTTCTTATAGACTGCCCAGAGACCCTCTGTGTGGGAGAAGGGCAGTTCTTAAAGATGATCGATAGATGATCGATGGATTGATAGATGATAGATATAATGGATAAGATTTGGTTGATAGATGGAGAGAGAGATGGAGAGAGATAAAGATAGAGTTGATAAAGAGATAGAGATAGAAATAGTCAGAGAAAATAAAAATATAGAGAAGATGATAGATAGATGATAGGCAGCCAGACAAATAGAGAAGATAAAAATATAGAGGATATGGAGAGAGAAAGAGAAGATTAAAAAAAGATCAGGAGAGAGAAGATGTAGATAAACAATAGATAGATAGATAGATAGATAGATAGATAGATAGATAGATAGATAGA